ATTACTGTATTTTTCAGAGTATAAGATGCACCCTTTCCCCCCCCTAAAAGAGGGTGAAAATTTGGATGCGTCTTATACACTGAATGTAGCCCCACCCACCCACCGTCATCCTTTGGCCTCTGCCTCCCAGCAATTTACTTCTTTGCAGCAAATGGGGAAAATGGGCCTTGTGGAGGCTGCAATAGGCTATGGAAATCCCTGCAGCCTGAACAGCTGATGATCAGGAGGCCCATGCTGAAATTGAGAGTGAAACTTGCTGTTTGCTCCCCGAGGCAAATTGCTGGGAGGCAAGAGGCAGATTTCTTTTTCCTTGTGCTAATCAGGCTGTTTGCTGCAAGGAGGTAAGTCAATAACTATAAATGCCTATACAATGTTCACATTATTAGACTTATTTTTTAAAGTCTGCTTTATTATTGCTCTAGGCAGCTTAACAAAATGAAGAAGCTTTTAAAATAAATGCTTGATCTGAAGATGCCCAGTGCTATTGTATCTTCTTTTAAATAGCAGAGAACAACTATACCTCCAGAAAGCACATCAATTTTAACAGCATCTGTACAAGTATTGTCTGAAATGTAACACTATAAACAGTGTATATTGTCTGTACTGTTTGCTACTTGTTGCAAGGAGGCAAATTGCTGGGAAGCAGAGGCAGATTCCCCCCCCCCTTGTATTCCTCCCGAAAAGCTAGGTGCGTCTTATACTTCGGAGTTTCCTTATACTCCAAAAACTACGGCAATTGTTCTCACTGAATTGTTCCTTCTTACGTCTAGTTTGGTGACCCTGGTTTTTAGACAACAGATTTCCTGACATTTTTCCACCAGCTGTGGTTGGCATCTTCAGAAGCATGGTGGTCTCCTATGCATTGCTCAATTATTCAAATCCACTGGGGGGTGAAATTCAGGGATGTTTTTCTATGCAGCCCCAGTCTGAATCTGGCCCACTTTTCGATTTCATTCTTTCTCTTCCCAGTTTTTTGCAGCATTCTAAATTTTACCCCCATGTTTTTTGGTTGTTCTGATGATGGACAGATAAGCAGACATCATCCCAAACTCCTTGTCTGATATATTTATTTAAACAGACTGAGTTGGAAAGGATCTTGGAGGTCTTCTAGTCCAACCCCCTTCTCAAGCAGGAGACTAACCAACTTATTTAACTACCACCACTCCACCATCTCAACATATAACTTGTTTTCAGTGTTCTGTTGGGCTGCAAAGAATCAAAAGGACTCAGGAATAAAATATCTGAGCACTATCTGATTTATGAAGCTGTTAAGATACTCATGACTGGGAGAGACATGGGAACAAGGTCAGGCAATGAATAGGTGTAGCAACTACCATATTTTTCAGAGTATAAGATGCACCGGAATATAAGACGCACCAAGATTTTGAAAGGCAATTAAAAAAAAAAAGTTTTTGCACTCTGCAGACCTCCCAAAAATGTCCCATTTTTCGTTAAAAAAATGGCATTAATAGCCTTTAGGAGGCTTGTAGAGTGCTCCTGGGAGTTGGGGGGGCAAAAATGAGCAAAAAACGGCTCATTTTCCACTCATTTCTGTCCTCCTCAGCCACTAGGAGCACTCTGGAAGCCTCCTAAAGGCTATGGATGGCCATTTTTATAAAGGGGCAGGGTTTTGGGAGGCCAAAATGCTGTGTTCAGTGTATCAGATGCACCCAGATTTTCACCCTTTTTTTTGAGGGAAAAAGGTGCATCTTATACTCCGAAAAATATGGTAAGTCAGCCAATGGGAGCTTAAACAAATCTGAGTCTGTGCAAAGAACTGAAACAGAAACTTAAGCAGTCTGCTGCTCTGAGAAGTAAACTTACTCTGGTCTGGGCTTGTCTGCTGATATGAAACTAACAGATTAACTGCTTGTGTTTGCCTGTAACTCTCCTGCCTTGTGTTTACTTGGAAGAACCACCTGTTGGTATTGTACATTTATTCATCTATTCATATTTCTATAAATAAGTTAATGAATCCAGCTGAATCAGTTACCTGTGTGTGCTTTCTGGATTTTTTTTTTTTTTTGCAACAAACTCTGACAGAAGCTTGGTTGTTTTTTAGCAGCAAGGAGCAGCTTCATTCATTTTCTAAACCTTGATCAAATAATACAACAATTAGTAGCTCAGTTGTGTAGCTCTCCACAGAGAGCTTCTTCTCCAATCCTCAAGCTGCTTGTGCTGGTTTTACTAGGGGAAAAAATATTGCTTTAATTAAACGTTCTTTCCTTCTTCTTTTTTTAATAACCAAAACAGAGTGCGCGTCTCCAAAATCCATGTTTGTTTCGAAGAAAACCTCTGGGCTCCATCAACATTATTAGAAAATACATTAGCAGGAGAGGGAGAAGCTAGAATGCAGCAGGAAACATCACTTTCATTTTCCATTTTTTTTTTTACTTTTCTCAATGGAATTGTAAAGGTGCAATTGGATCACAACCACATTCAGTGAGAACACCCACAAGCAGCTCTCAGAACTTCTAAATGCACCCAACACTCCAGAAAGTTTGGTGGATGCTGATAACCAATATCACATTGTTGCTTAATGCCAATGCACAGAGACTTCAATGTATAACCACAGCTGGTACCAGAATTTCTATTGAATAGAAAATAGAGCTGGAAGGGATCTTAGAGGTCTTCTAGTTGAGCCCCCTGCTCAAGCAGGAGACCCTATACCATTTCAGGAAAATGGCTGTCAGGCTCTTCTTGAAAGCCTCCAGTGATGGAGCACCCACAACTTCTGGAGGCAACTTCTATTCCGCTCCTTAATTGTTCTCACCGTCAGGAAATTTCTCCTTAGTTCTAGGTTGCTGGGTTTCCACCCATTGTTTTTTGTCCTGCCTTCTTTGTGACAAATACTGGAATATTGCTATCATTTCACCCCTAGTCCTTTTCTCTAGACTAGCCAAACTCAAATCCTGCAACTGTTCTTCATATGCTTTACTCTCCAAGGCTTTAATCATCTCCGCCCCCTGCCTTTTATCCCTAGAGCTAGGGTGGTGCTTTGCCAGCAGTGGTGGCTTTTCTGTCCCAAGGACCGGCCCATAGATTTCCACTGCTCTCCTCTCCTCTGCTTTCTGTGCATCCACACGTCAGGCACTGGACCCAGCTGTTCCTCCTCTTCCTCATCAGCCACCTCCAGACCTGGGGGCTGTTGATTCTCCATCTGAGGGCTGACGTACAGCCCAGGCTCTGCCNGTTGGGGGCAATATGCTGACTCTGTAAACCGCTTAGAGAGGGCTGAAAGCCCTATGAAGCAGTATATAAGTCTAACTGCTATTGTTATTGCTAACCTGGTTGTTAAGTGAACCAGGCTTCCCCCTTGACTTTGCTTGTCAGAAGTTCGGAAAAGGTGATCACGTGATCCTGGGACACAGCAAAGGTCATAAATATAAACCAGTTTACAAGTATCCTAATTTTGATCATGTGGGAATGCTGCAAAGGTCATAACTATGAAACACAATCATAAGTCACATTTTTCAGTGCTGCCGTAACTCTGAACAGTCGCTAAACAAACTTTTGTAAGTCGAGGACTACTTGTGTAAGATTTGGAAAAGTGTATTTTGAGCAAAAAAGATCATAGGGATTGACCATATTAGACGTTTATAATGGATGGGTTCCGGCAGGCACTACTGCCGGTTCGCTCGTGTGTGCGCAGTGCATGCATGCTTGATGCACGCTGCATGCACATCCGCAGTGCGATTAAAATTGTGCTGCATTAAAAAAAACAAGATGACGGCGCCTACAGAGCTGCTGGGAGAACCGTTTTGGGGGTGTGGCCTGGGTCGCTGCCAGTTTCAGCAACCTAGCCCGCCAAACCACTACCGGTTTGGCTGAACCGGTCCGAACCGGTAGGAACCCACCACTGGTTTATAACATGATGCAAGAAGGAGAGAAGAGAAACACTTACAAAAGAAAGATCAAGAATGAGGCCGAATGGTGCAAGAATCAGGACACATGAAAGCAACACAACACAATGTTATTGAATTAGATTCCACAAGCTAGTAATAACCAGCAACTTGGCTTTGAAAGAAAATCAGACAAATTCATAGAGCATAAGTCTACATGCTTTCTTCATTTCTGAGGCGATAGATAGACTGTTATTTGGTCTGTTCCACCTAAAAAGAATTACCATGTGAATGTGGGCTGCAGAATGCCAACTGGATTGTCTGAAATAACACCTTCTGTTATTTCAGCTGTCATCTAACACTAGCAGCCACTTCGCCAGGTAGCTGAAGAAAGGGATGTGAATCTCCTGAAGGGCCAAGCTCTGTAAGACATGTTGAAGGAGAACAAATAGATGGAAAACAACTAAAAATGGAACTGGTATCAACTTCACTTGCAAAGAAAAACATTAGGATCACTGACAAACAATACTATATGAAGAAAAGTTTGTTACTTTGGGGCTATGCCAAGTGAAAACTCTCTAGATTAAAAACGCTGAGAAAAGACTACTTTTTAATCAAATCCCCCTTTTTTACTCATTGCTATCAGCAAGATTATGGGACCTCCTCAAACTTTGGAGCTAATAACAAACATGGAGGGAGGGAGGGAGGGAGGGAGGCATGTTGCTGATGATATCATAAAATGGCTTCTGTAGTAGGCACGTTTAGTCATAAAGCACACTAGATAACAGGCATCAGCCTCTGTGGTAGGTCCAGGGGTGGGTTCTGCCTGGCTTTACTGCCGGTTCACTCGTGCACGAGCACGGGCAGTTCAATTAAAATTGTTCTGTGCATGCGCAGAACTAAAAAAACAAGATATCGACTGCAGCAAAGAGGGAACCAGTTCAGGGGTGTGGCAGGTCTGGGTCGCTGCTGGTTCCAGCGACCCAGGCCACCATGCCACTACCGGTTTAGCCAAACCGGGCCGAGCCGGTAAGAACCCACCACTGGGTAGGCCAGATCAGGAAACATACACAATAGGAACTCTATTTTTATAGAGTACAATAACCAAATTGTGATAGCCAGAGCTTCTCTTACTTTCCTTTTTTATAACAGAGAGATTCAAGGCCAGATAGTCTTAAGTTTGCTCCTTGACTTATCCTGTCTTTCTGGGTAGTTTTTTTTTTTTTTTTAAATCTCTCTACCTTCTTCCAAACTATCTCTATTCTCCTCTAGAGCAAGGTTATATCTAGACCAGAGGTGTGTTTCTGCCAGTTCACCCCGGTTTGAGTGAACAGGTAATGGCAGCGGTGGGAGGCTTTGCCCACCTGCCCGGACACTTCTGTGCATGCCCAGAAGCATCGCACAAGCGAACCGGTAGTAAAATAAATCAAAACCCACCACTGATCTAAATCCTCCTGTCAGCCTTCCAGAATGCGCTTACTATCCCTTTCTCTGTTTTGTGGTGGGGGGGGAGCACATTTTCAAACAAAAGCTATCATTGAATTTTTGTAAAGAATCCTATGATAGAGGAATACCTTCACTTACCATTACGAAAGCGTAGGAAAAAGTTATTCACAACCAGNTTCTTTCTTTCTTTCTTTCTTTCTTTCTTTCTTTCTTTCTTTCGGAGTACCCCCACCCCACTCCCATCTTTGGCTTAGCAGGCCTCAGGGAAGCCTCCTAGGAACAAAAACGAATCCCAAATGCTAAAAAAAAAGTTCTTACCAGCACAGCTGATCGTTGGAACTTTTTTTTTACTTTGTTCAGCATTTTTTTTTTACTACAGGTTCGGGTGAACGGTAGCATTTTTTTACTGCAGGTTCTGGTGAACCGGCCTGAACTGGTAGCATTTCACCCTTGCATTTAGGGTGGTTTTTTTGCATAGCATATCAGTTTTCATGGGAATGGTGCTAATGCGAAGTCCGGGCATGCACACTAGGTATTTCTGGAAGCCAGGGCAAAGCTGGTTTTTGTTTATCACAGAAGCCACATGCTTCTTGCATTTGATTTCCTAAAGCAGTGCAAGGATTTTAAGGCTGTGCCTGCCCTAATTAAGGCTTTTCATGCAGCATGGCAGAGTTGCTGCAACGGCCTAAAATATCCCCAGGGGTCCTTCTGGTTGCCAAAGATACAGCCTGAGCTTTTCATTTTTGTCTCTTGTGCAACCTAGCAATAGGGAGTTGGGTGTTTTTTTAAGTCATTATTTCTGGCTGCCTCAGCCACACCAAAAAAATAAAAATAAAAAAGGCAAGAGTGTTTACTATATGCTGTTTCGTTCACATAAAATGTTTCCCAGGGTGTAAGCAAGGGTTTTAATTGAGTGTTGCAAATAGATTTAAGAAGCAGAAGGGGAGGAATGGAATATCTGGAAAAAGTCTTAACGTTCATGGAAATGGACATTCTTATAATGTGCGTGGAGGATCTAGCCCAGTGATGGCGAACCTTTTCATCACTGAGTGCCCAAACCGGAACGCACGTGCATGTGCGCGCATGTGTGTGCCCCGAAGCACCAGAAACCAGAAGACCAGCTTGGCAGTGCATATGCGCACGGCAGCCAGTTGGCTTTTAGGTTTCTGGCAAGCATATGCGCTGGCTAGCGCATATGTCTTTGCATGTGCCAGAGCACCAGAAACCTGAAAACTAGCTGGCTGGCGCGCACATGCCTGTTTTTTGCCATTTTCCAGCCTGAAAAAGGGCCTATTTATTGGCCAGTTTTGGCCATTTTCTGGTGCTCCGGCACCCATGAAAAACAGCTGGTGATGGTACATGTGCCCACAAATGCCATAGGTTTGCCATCATAGACCTAGCCTTTGAAGAAGAAGAAAAAATTAGCCCCAAAAGCCTCATGTAAAATAGTCTAATCCAGAGCCCGAAAGTTAAGACAGAAGACGAAGGAACACAACAAATATTTGGCTACGTGTTTTATTTCCTCCCTCGTTTATGCAAAAGCATTAAGTACCTTGAGAACTGGTACTCCTGCATGATTTGCAATAAAGTCATGCCAGATGTTTCCCAGATGGTTTTCACTTCCTGTCTGGCTCCTCCATATTTAGCTTGGATTCTTTCTTTTTTTTTAATGAAAATGTTTGCTTTGGACTACAAATAGGGTACGCACATACACACACGCACAAATGCACATACAGAAATATCTTTGTAATCTTTTTCCCCATGAGAAGGTAGTTCAGGATGTAATTACAAAGCAACTATTGTTCCTTCTGGGGTTATTTCTTTCATATTTTCTATTCTCTTCTTACTCATTTTTTCTTGCACTATTGGACATTTATTGTGTACTTTCTAGACAACAGTGAAATGCTGGGAATGACTTAATGTCCGGTTTCTCACATTTGATCTACAGTAGGGTTTATGGCAATTTCTGTAGCCTTATTGCATTCTCCCTCTTTCTTTCTTTCTTTCTTTCTTTCTTTCTTTCTTTCTTTCTTTCTTTCTTTCTTTCTTTCTTTTTCTTTTTTTATTTCTTTCTTTCCTTCCCTTTTCACTCCCTCTTTCTCTCTCCCTTTCTTTCTTTTCCTTTTTCTTTCTTTCTTTCCTGCACCCCTCCCTCCTTCTCCCTTTCTTTCTTTCTTTCTTTCTCTTTTTCTTTCTTTCCTTCCCCCTCTTTTTCTTTTTCTTTTTTCTTTCTTTCCTTTCTTTCTCACTCCCCCTCTCTCCCTTTCTTTCTTTTTCTTTCTTTCTTTCCTTCCCCTCCCTTTCTTTCTTTCTCTTTCTTTCCTTCCCCCCTCCCTCCTTCTCCCTTTCTTTCTTTCTTTCTTTCTTTCTTTCTCTTTCTTTCCTTCCCCCCTCCCTCCTTCTCCCTTTCTTTCTTTCTTTCTTTCTTTCTTT